AAGGAAAAGCTGAGGATCACACATTATCCTGCACATTCTACTTGCACAACGGAGCGTCAGCGACAAAGAAAGTTAAGATGGCTAGGTTGCTAGAGAAGTGGGCCTCTAGTAACACTCACCCAAACAGAAGGGGAGGAAGAGTGATACATCAAAGATTGTGACTGAAGTATACAAATACCACAACCTTTTAGTAAAATAAGTGAATGGCATGTAGAGATACATTTACTGGAAGTCAAGGAAGTGTCTACATTACAGAAAATATGGCCTAAAGTTTAGGATCTCTATAACATAGTTTGCAATAGCGCACCTTCCCATAATCATACAAAAACCCTACCAAGAATCATGCCTAAAATTGTTATGTCCCATCAAGAGACAATATCATGAATCAATTGCCTAGGTTGCAGCCAAGCTTCTGTCTGTCCTATATGGGAACAATGTTGTGATCCTGAGTCAGATGCATGATGGCCTGGCAGAAGCCCATCCATAGTTACATAGTGGCAGCTAAGGGGGTACAGAATGTACATTCAAGATTCACACAAGGCTTGGTTTTGAGTATAAGTTGTTTCACCCATGAATTTAAGGCTTCCTATAGAAAGATACTTTTGTTCTGGCCAAGAATTATAATGGCATGTGGAAATGATCTTGGGAGATAGAAGACTCACAAACTGCTCAATGGGACAAATAGCAGTTGAGGCCACAGAAGGAATGGAGACATGGCAAATATCTCATAAGACACCCTCCCTAGTTTCTTGGACTGTAAAGGCAAGGGGAAGAGAGAGAGATTTTCAAATTTATAAGATCCTTACAATAAAGAGCCTGTACTTCTGTGTATGCTTCTTGTCTGGACTACCTTAATATTCTATCACTGAAGAGCCATGGTGGTGTGCAGTGGTTAGAATGAAGTACTGCAGGCTAACTCTGCCAACTGTCAGCAGTTTGATCCTGACCTGCTGAAGGCTGACTCAGCCTTCCATCCTTCCGAGCTTGATAAAATGAGAACACAGATTGTTGGGGGCAATATGCTGACTTTGTAAACCACATAGAGAGGGCTGTAAAGCACTGTGAAGTGGTATATAAGTGCTACTGCTATCCCACGTCACTATCTGGAACTACATAAATATATCGTGTGTGTGTGTGTGTGTCTTTGCATCTATCCATTCACCCAGGTTAACACAACAGAATCCCTTAAAACACTATGACTGGGCTTAGGAATAATGTACTAATTAAATAGTATGACAGGCCTTCTGATGGAACAGTAGGGTAGACAGAACTATAGACCAAAACTGATATTTCAAGAAGAGAAGTATTCCAGTAGCACTAAATCCCTTATCAATACAGGAGAGAACAGACAGGAACAAAAAATGAGAATCAAGGATATCATAGTAGAACAACAATACATATATTCAATGAAATTGACCAGATCTCCTTTTAACCCATAGGCCAAGCTGGCTTTTTGTCATGTATGTATGCATATGTGTGTGTTGTGTATCTACACTAACACACACACACAAATACAGATGTAAATACATTTATATTAGGCTGAAACTACGCTATGAAACTAAATAAAAGTAATCAGAACCTAGATATTTTTCATCACAATGACAAATTATGACATTATGTAAGTTTTATTTGAAATGCATTACTAGATAGATATATCTAGCTTCTAATTTTAATGATAATGCTCCTAACCTCCAATTGCTGCTGTTCCATTTTAGTCAGCAAGAACTTCGAGTAGATGTTGCTTTTTTCAAGCAAGTGTTGAAGTCTCTTGTAGCGCATTTCATTTGAGTCTCTGTCCCAATTCATGTAAGCCTATAAGAAAAAATAATCTGTTATAAATACCAACATTAACTGACCATACTATTGGAAATATAAAAGTTGGTATTATCTTTCACCAGTTAAATCTAAATGAATAGGTTCAGCCGTACAATTTTCATCAAGGTCCCACTGGAAATACAGCTTTTTACTCAACCAAGATGTCCTCCAGGTTATTATAGGGAATTTTTACATTATATTTCCAATGCTGTTCTGCTCTGAATTTTCTACATATACTAGCTATATACCCATGCTTCGCTATGAAACTTTGTGATTGGGCTTAGTTTGGGGGGAGGAAAATAAAAGAAAAAAATTGTGTCTCTGCCTACCAGCATCCATCAGGATTCATCTGGCTAGCGTCCTGTCAGGGTGAGAGTTGAGGGTTGTTTGGAAACTGAAACAGTATTTGCTGTGTAAGGAGACAGCAAAGAGCCTGGGCATGGCTTAGTTCAACTGTTCTGTACTAAAGCTGGTTGGTTGCTGCTGTGAAATTAAAACTGAAACTCCTCTCCTCTGCTTGTTTTGCATTTGGAACAGATTTCTTTTCAGTTGGGAAGGGGAGTAGAACTCCTTAGCATCAGAGCGTGTTAATAATAATATATGAAATAATATAATGCTCTGATGGTCATTTTGAAAAATCCTTTCTTAATGAGCACCTAGAAGCCAAATTTCAAGTTTGTAGGCTTTACGGTTCTAGAGATTTTGTGATGATGCTTCAGTGGTATTTCGCTTTTATATATATATTTATTATATTAGTGTCAGGTAAAATAAACATGTTATATAATAGGTGTGTTCAGAGTATATCATATTTGATTTATGTTCTAGTTGCCAATATATATGTCAGGTAAAATAAAGATGTTATATAATAGGTGTGTTCAGAGTGTATCATATTTGGTTTATGTTCTAGTTGCCAATATATAATTTCTCCCTGTCGATCATGATTGTAATTGTTGTGTTTGGTGAAGCAATTGGTGGAGTTAAAGCTTTAATTTTATTTGCATACTTTTTACTAGAATCTTATAAATAAAGCATTTTTAAAAAAAAAAAAACGGATCTCCGTATTGTGTGCAAAAAAACCTTTATTTTGGACCCAAAATAAAGTCTGGATAAAATTTTAGCGGAAAAAAAAAAAAACACGTCTCAAGAGCTTTTACAGGATGCTCAGACCTCCCCCCACCTCGCGTGTGGCAGCCTGTCCCGAGTTTAAGAAACGCGCTTGTCTGTCCTTGAGGGGGGGATAAAACAAGGCAGAGGGGAACGCGGGGACACCTCAGGAAGAGAAGAAAGTCGAGACTCGCCCCCTCGGTTCTAGAGGCCAGGTTAAATCCCGTCTTAATACTAGAAAGAGTTCCCCAGTGGGCGCGCTTCGAGGGCGAAGCCAATTCCCTGGTCACTGAATGGGGAGCTGGGACCGCCACCTCCCCGGGGCTCCGGGGGCTGCATTCAAACCAACGCAACGCGCCGCGCACTCAGCGCGGGGCCGCCCTCCTCCTGCCGACCCCCCCGTCCCCGCGCAGCCCAGCCCGCCTTCCTGCTTTGGCGCCCGGGGCTGGGTGGGTGGGACACGGCGGGCCTCCTCCTCGGGGCTGGGGGTGGGGGTGGGGTGGGGGGTCGCGCGCACCTTCTCCATCCTCTGCCGCTCCTTCTCCCTGCCCTCCGCCTCCAAGCGCTCCTCCTCCTGCTGCATGGCCGTGGTAATCACCGGCGCTGCATCCTCTGCTCCGGCTTCGCCCGGCTCGGCCATCGGAGACTCTGGCAAGGAAAACAAGGGGGGGGGGGGGGGATCGGCGGGGCTTTCCTTGCCCGCCCGCCCGCCCGCCCGCCCAGCGCTCCTCTCTGTCCCGGCGCAACGCGCGCAGCCCAAAGGGCAGAGCGGCTCCCCGTTACCTGCGCTTGGGCCGCTGCTGGTGTTGCTGCTGGTGCTGCTGCTGGTGCTGCTCTCGTCCGGCATGGCTGCCCACGCGCCGCCTTTTCTCCCCCCCCCCGCCGCCGCCCGGCCGCCCTCCGCCCGCCACTCGGACTCGCACGAGGAGCTCCCGCCCCACTTCCCGCCCCGAAGGAAACTGGCGCGCTTTTCGCTCTTGCGAGATGTCGCCCTTGCCTCGCGCGAAACCCGCCCCGCCCACCGCCGCCCCGCCCCCCCGGGAGCCCGGAAGGAGGAACCGGACGGCGGGAGGGAGGGAGGGAAAAAGGGATTCCCTTCGGCCGCGTCGGGTCTGGGGCTCCGCAGCCGGGTTCCCCCAAAGCCGCCCTCCTTGAAAGGCTTCCTCGGGTTGGCGCCGGGGAGGGGGGCGGGGGGGGCCCTCAAGCAGGCAATCCCGGTTCTTGCTTGAAAAGGAGGAATTTCTCCAGGCTCTCCCCGCTCCTGATCCCCTCTCCTTCCTTCCTTCCTTCCCTGCGCTCCCGGGGATCGCCTGCATAGCAGCCGGGCGATTCTCCTTCCTTCGCGCTCCTTCTTTCAGATTAACCCCTGAATCCAATGTCCGCGCCCCAGCCCCCCTTTTAAACCGGGGCCTTCTTTCTGCCTTGATACTACCTACCGGTATTGCAGGTGGGGAGGGAGGGGCACGTGTCGTGATCGCCTCTGGAATTATGACCTCCATAACTAGGTTAAGAATTTTAACGGGGCCAGGAAACCTGGCCAGTAGCCTGGAAGACATTCCCACACCTGCTCTTTCTGATTTATGCAGGGGTAGCAAGAAGCCTGGTTGCCATTTATTTATTTATTTTTTGGTTCTCTTCCATCCTGAAATGGCTTCTTGCTCTCTTAGAGCCGGTCCTGGTGCTGAATATATTTGGCATGTGGCTGTTTACAAATGACCGTAGTGCTTCCCATGCATTATAACTGTTGTGAAGATACTTCTTTGGAACTAGAGTGGACGACATGGCTGATTACCTCACAGGAAAAACATTCATTACTACCTAAAATATTGAAGTTGTAATCTCAACATTATAGCTAGCGTGCCAATGTTAGCTATTGAACCATACAAACATTTAACATTTCTTTCATGTTCATAGGAACACCCTCGACCAGCAACATTCACTTTGAAATTTTTAACTGCCTTAAAGCAGCTAAAATTGTAATAGTGGAAAGGATATGACTATCTCACCCATGTTTTCAACCACTTTCATTTTGGGGAGTATCTTTATATTTTTTTAGTTAGGTTTTTTTTTTTAATAGCAGCTGACATTCTAGCAATTGATCTGTCCTACTGAAATCAATAAACTTTAATTATATGGAATTTTTACATTTGTCTTCAACCCATGCAAGTAAGTGCTGATAGCATATTAGAGTTCTTGTATTACACTCATGCTAAATTAGGTCTTAATAGTTAAATCTCATGTGATTCAAACTCTTTCTGGATGAAGTCAGATTTTTCCTGGATTTATTCAGCAAAACTAAAAATATAAACAAGGCCAGAAAATTTGTTTTAGTAAAGTTTTAGTGGCAATCAGGAGACAAATCTTGATTTACAAGTGAAAGGATTTATAGAGTGCAGAAGTGACCAATTTCTTGCTTCATAACAAACTATAAAAAAATCATGGGCAGAATTGAAGCAGTTAAGAGTGATTTCTCAGTAAAATGAATATCAAAAAAGTAAAAAGGAATACATTCTACAATAACAAAAGTAGTTAATTCATAGACTTGTGTAGTCTCGGCTACTTTTGAACCTTCTTTGATTATTTTAGTCCAAATGCATTGCTGAGGAATAAATACTGTTTCAGAAATTCAATAGCAGAAATCTTGGATTTAGCTTCCTAAAAAAAAGTCATGTATTCTAGAAGCAGATTAAGGCTCTTCTTTCATCGCTTTTCCAATTTTTTGTACTTTGCTTCTGTAAAGGACAGAAAACATAGTCTTAATATAAACATTTTGTTTCATTTTAGTTATAAATCTAGTAGCATAGTCATGTTTAAGAAGAAAGCACAACAAAACCTTGATAGCAAGCAATGTAATTTCTTCATTTAATCAGCAGAACAGAATACTTTATTTGGCCAACTATGATTAGACATACAAGGAATTTGTTTCCAGTGCAGAAGCTCTCAGTGTACATGCAAAGCAACTTATGTCAAACTACAAATTTATTCTTAAAATGGACTTCATTTCTTAAAAGAGTTAGGAGTACATGTTATCCTTGACTTATGACAGGTTGCTCAGCAACTTAGCAACTCAGTTATGGCAGACCTTCCCAAGGCCACTTGTGACCCAAATTCAAAGTTCTAATCCCCCCCATCACGATTAAATTTTTGGTGCTTGGCAGCTGGTATGACTATTTACAGTATCCTGCAGTGACAGTGGCTTGTGATTTAGGGCTTTTTTGCCCAGAAACATTGGTTTTTGGCAAAAACCACCCGTTATGGACAATGGATTTGCTTAATGACCATGGAATTTGCTAAAAGATCAGAAAAAAGTTGTAAAATCTTGCTTTCAAAGACCACCAATACTGCTTTTGAAGAAATGTATCCAAAATTTCTTTGGTTATCTAAAATTTTCCAATTCTCTACTGTAAAATTTCTTGAGACAGAGGGAAAAAATGAGAGGATCAGGTGCCATGTGCTATTTGTTGTCTGTTTAAAACTCCTTCTGAAACTTAAATTTTCAGTTTTGGAATACGCCGAAAACTTCCTTTCTCCTATGTATTGACAGTTACTTTTCAGAGTTATGTACAAAACAGAATTGTCCTTGGAAGGCAGGTGTAAAAAAAAACCCTAAAACTAGCAGCTGCAACTACCTGGATGCCCTTGGTTAAGAGTGGAACCACAGCCATATCCTGTCATTATAACTAATAATTGAGGAGGGGAGAGAAACTGGGAGTGATGACAATACAAACATACAAATATACAAGATCTGAACTGATTAATCGGGAACTTGAAATACTAGAAAATGTATTTATGAAAATAATATATAAATATAATAATATAAAGGAGAAAAGCAAAGAAATTGTGTACTGATTGGATCATGTTCCTTTGTCTTCCAATACTTCAAATCAGTAGTGGAACACAAAGTGACCAGATAGCATGGTCACTATCCAAGTCAACAAAAGATTGGTGTGGAGCTTTGTATCAAATCCCATTGTCTTAGCAATTCGTATGAATGGAACCAAAAAATATACATCAATAAATCATTAATAAACCATAGTTAAATACGCAGTGCTTTTGGCCATAAATGAATAGATGAGAAATAGTTTCAAAAAAGAGAACAGTCTTTTGATCTCTGTAGTAATCCATAACAGAAGAAAAGGGCATCTTGGGCCCTGGATTTTGGGCACATTCTTTAAATTATTCTCATTAGAAGTTGAAAAAGTTTTACCCTGTTTTGATTATAGGAATGAGCATTTTAGTCATATAGGATATTTATAAAAATTATATTCCCAGGCCTTGCTTGGGAAAAGGATAAAATAAAAACTTTTAACACCACTGTTCTAGTAAGGGTTTCTTGGAATAGCTACCGAGTTTCTTGGAATATGCATCCAGCTTGTAGGCAGCCTGTTCCAAAACTGCAACTTGCTCTTCAATCTGATTGATTTGTTCCAGGTATGGTTGAAGTGCAGCATCTTGGGAAAAATGAAAAGGGGAGGGAAAAAAAATATAAGAACTTACTGGTTTTTTTAAAAAAAAAAAACCTGCTACTTGACAGTAAGGTGCCTTTTACTGGATCAAACTACTGCCCAGTCTTAATGGACAATGGTTTGCTGGATCTCGCCGTGGCCTGCCATCTTATCCTGGGCACTGGAGACTAAAAAAGTTGCACTCATGCTAAGGTATTCCTCTTTTTGTATGAGTAATACATACCACTGCTGTTGGATTTGCTGGAGCCTTCCTCAAGCTTTCTTTGGGTGTGTTGTATTTAGAAACGGATCGATTGCCTGATTGTAGATTAACACATTCGTGTGGGAAAGGCTGGCTAAAGAACTACTTTTTGTTTCTTGCACATTTTTTATATTCAATTCTTTCCTGGATGTATTTTAACATACTTCCAAAATGCAAATAAGCATGAAAACATCCTTTGTTTGACCATAATTAAAGTTTGTTTCTACTTACATTTCTGATTTAAGTCTTTCAAATTCCGACTTATGTTTATAGCAATGTCTTTCATTTCCAGATACTTCAAACTAGTTAGTTTGTTCATGTTTTCCAGGAGTTTGTAATCTTCACTAGTTGCTAAAAAATAAAGAGGAGGAAATGGGTTTCTGCATTATGCCAGACCTTGTTTTAACTAAGATTTATTTATTACTTATTTATTAAATTCATTTGCTGACTATTTTGCGATGGGCTAAAATAGGTGCCCTTATTTATCGAATAAGCAACCAATGGCTGGCTTCACGAAATGCTAAACTCAAATCACGGTGGCTGACTTCACCTATCAGACTGAATCAAAAGGAATTGTCGCTTCCCTTTTACAAAATATAACCACAGTTTTAGTTTCAATGTTGTTCATAATATGTCAATAACTCTCTCAGGCTGATTATGGAATATGAATCCTAAAATCATCAGTGTTGTTTCTGGCTTTTACTTTCATCAGAAACACTTAGATGAAAGTTTTTCTTAAGAGAGGAAAGAATTAAGTTGACAAATGCAGAGTTTCCTGTCTAGACTGGGCCACAGTTAGAAGCCTGCCAAAAGTGAGTGAGGCTAAACTATTAGCAGACATCACTCTTTTGGGGACGCAGTGGGGAAAAGGTGGGTTGGCTGATCATGTAATTGATTAGTCATGTTCTGATTCCATTTGACATTTCCTTTTTTAAAAAAAGTAAATTCTTGGTACTTTTTGACACTTAGAAAAATTTACAAAGAATCACACTCTATGTTAAATTTAAATTTAATATTAACTCACCAGTTAGTTCACCCGTTAGGTAGATCGCCATTTTATTGAACATTTCTGTACAAAGTTCATTAATATCAGCTTCTGCTGGCTCTGTGGCTTCTTCTGCAGTTTCCACAATAGGTTCTTCTATTCAGAAGTATAAAAGAAAAGATTTATATTTTAGCATTACAAACAACCTTAATGTTTTCAGCATCAGAAAGTCCTGAGAATGAGAAGTCTTAATTATATAAATAATGTCTTCATCTTACCGTTACCAATACTTGAAAGATCTTATTTCATTTACCATATTTGCTCCCTAACAAAAATGCTCTTAAGCTTAAAATAATACATTAAAACACTACAAAACATTTTACTAGCAAAAATCAGAGCACAAGAGTAAGAATGCAGCAACAGACAAAATTAATTGTAGATCTAAAATGTGCAGGACTAAATTTCACTGGGTGCAGAAAAGAGGAAGGCACCAGTGAAGCTCTTGAAGAAAGCATCCCATTGTCAATGTTTTTATTTATAAGGCTTTTTTTTTTTCAACACAAATGAAGACTACCAGAACAAGCCAACAAAGACAGTTGCAGTATTGTATTAAGTAAAATCTTTTAGAACCAAATGTTTTTCAGCCCCTAAGGCTTCAATGGATAATTAGAACTGCAGAAAAAAACAATGGCTAGCAACCTGCCTTCCTGTGTACTGCACTAGTCAAAAAAGAGGGCTGTGAAAATATCTACAGACCCCTCACATCCTGGACATAAATTGTTTCGACTTCTACCCTCAAAACATTACAGAGTCATGATGGTGAACCTATGCCACGCATGCCAGAAATGGCGCGCAAAACCATCTCTGCTGCTCTTCCAGGTTCCAGCTGCTGCTCGGGAGCGCCAGAAACACCGGAAACCAAGAACAGCTCCCCAACACACATGCGCACATTCTGGCCAGCTGCTCTTCACATGTGCATGCGCATGTGAAACGAAGACCAGGTTGCTGGCGTGCATGCATGTACTGGGAAGCTAAGCTTCCAGTTTCCGATGCTCCCGTGCATGTGCATGCCGGAGAACTGCTCTTCTGGTTTCCAGTGTGTGCATGCACATGTTCCGTTTCAGCACTATTCTAGAGCATCACACACCAGAACAGCTAATCATAAGGACTCTACTAAACAACTAATTCCCACAACACTGTCAAACTATTTACTAAGACTTTATTACTATTATTCTTCTCATCCTTCCTATTACCTATCTCCACCCACTTATGACTATAATATTGTTTGTATCTTTGTGATTTATATTGTTAGTTGCACAGTATGATTTTAATTGCTTATTTAGTATTCTATGACTATCACTAAGTGTTATATCTTATGATTCATGATGAATGTATTGATAACTATGATCATGATTTATCACTTATATCTTTTATGTACACTGATATATGCATGAAAGACAAATTCTTTGCGTGTCCAATCACACTTGGCCAATAAAGAATTCTATTCTATTAAAAACATTTGTCATAATTGCATTATTGTTATTTCAAGTAAATTCTATATTATTAAAAAAACAAATCTTAATCAAAACATGGGGAAAATAGGATGAAGCAGGAAGCAGAATGTTCTCTGCCTTGAGTTATAAAAATAATAAAAGCGGGATAAAAACCTAATAAATAAATAAAATATGGTGAAATTACTTCTCAGTGCAAGAGAGATGCTAATCCAGTCTCTACTTAAGAGTTGTAAAATTGAATTTATCATCTCCTAGAATTCTCTTCTAATAAATCCTCCATTAGGCTACGCTTGGGCCATTTTGTGAATCTTTAAAGGTTTGGTCCATTATGGAATCTTCTGAGTCTGCAAGAGGATAAGGCATGCTTGCACTCAACAACTCCTCCCCCTTCCCCAATCATTGGGGAGAATTTCTCATCCTTTCAGCAATCCTGATTCAGCAAATTAACAGCTCCCTTATTTAGTCAAATTACAACAGTAACGGAGCCTGCCCATTTCAATCATAAACCACGAGAGTTGTAAAGCGAGTTTTACATGGCTGATCCAATTTATGAACTTTTTTTCAGCAATCATAAAGTGAAGCTTGTGATTGTTAAGTGAACCAATAGTTCACAGGGTGTTTTTGTTGAAAACCTATAGTAAATGTTGGTTTTCATCAAAAACATCATAAATTGTGGTCACATGATCATCAGATGCTGCAAATGGCCATAAATGTAGTTATGTGACCATGTAGTCATACTTTTTTGGGGGTGGGTGAGGTCCATTGTAGTACTAAGTGGTTGCTAAATGAGAAATTGTAAATCAACCTATACTAAAATTCTCCTGTTGATGTGCTACTTTTAAATGGGTGAAACAATGCAACGTAAGGCAATATTTTTTAAACCAAGATATCTCAAATGGGGTAATTTGTAGAATGCATGCTTCCTGTGGAATTATAGAACTCCATAATTCCCATGGAATTGAAATTTGGCAAATTTTATAAGGCATTTCGTGACATAAAAATCATCAGCCAAAAAGATGATTGGTTAGTAGCAATCTCAAAATCCTGTTCTTTAAGAGGAACTCTTCTGCACAAGAGTGGTTATTAATTTTGGAAATCATTGGAAGGATGAAGTCTCAAAGGCCCATATAAGGTTAATCTGAGAACAATCTAACAAATAAATATTGGGAGTAAACAGATACAAAAACTGTAATTCACTTCTTGAAGAGCTATATCCTAAATAAATAAACTTCCAGAAGAGATGAGCAATGTAAATGATTCAGAGCCTCTATCCATTTGCATCTAATCATGGTCAAGCATGCCTTGTATCAACGTAACATCCTGTCTCACAAGCTGTGGCATTTTTACTGGGAGCATAATCTGACTCATTTTATTGACTATTTTTTCAACTGTCCAACAGGAGAGGCAATGTTTCAGGCCCTGTTGGCTAAATACTTTTATTTTACGCGATGAAACTCCTGCCCTTTGGGATCATTCCCCACAAGGTGAGATTAGTCGCAACCTTTTTGTCCTTTTCAAAATCTCTTTTAAGACATGGTTTATTTCAGCAGGCTTGTGACCATATTTGCATGATATTTTGGTGCATTCTCTTGGGAACTTATTTATATTTATTGTTAACTGTTTAATGGTTAAGATTTGATTGTTTTATTGTATAATAGTCAAAATCACATTAGTGAGATGGGTGACTATACAAGTTCGATAAACAAATCTGAACATTGCTAAGAATCCCCAATAATCCAGCTGGCCTCTCTAAAGAGCTACAGAAGAAAAGTTTGAGGCTTCATCTTCCATTCCACTGAAGATTATCTCAGAGGAGACTTTTCATGCCTATTGTCATTTGGCTAACTACAAGAAAGGTTCCACTGGGTGTGTAAGGTCTGACTTACGTGCTTAAAATCTATCAGTAATCTCTTGGTATTGGTGATGTTCAGTGACTTTGCACTAGTGCTACATAAAAAGATTCCCAACTCAACAGAAGACAAAGTTATTTTAACACCGATGGATGTTCTGAAACTCTTGCTATCAGGACTTGGGAAGGTGAAACCTACCAACCTGCAAAAGGATCTGCAAAACAAAAAAGCAAGAATGTAAGATGGGTCATGCATCAGATGTTTGCTCACATCATTCCTCATGCCCGCCTCCAAGAGCTTTTTGGCATCAAAGGCCACACTACACATACAAATGGCTCACTAATTGTCTAACAATATTGGAGAATAGTCCCTAAAATGAAAAAAAAAAAAATGAAGACATCCTTGAAATCCTAGCTCATGAGCAACTTGCTTTACTAAATTGTTATGAATTTTAAATTAAGTAGTCTTTACCCATCCCTGAACAAGCTGAAAAGTACACCAGCAAAACATTTGCTATAGCCACTGTCAATCCATTTTTGCATCTATAGCCTTGGCTCATCTTGCCTATCAAGTGACCTGATTTAGACTTGCAGGGCATGATAAGCAAAGCTATGGGGTTTCTCTGGTCCTAATCCACATTCAACCACTAGGTCACACTAGTTGTTCTTCCTTTCCTAAAACCAGGACCAATCAGCAGCTTATAGAATAGGAATAGAATAGAATACTTTATTAGGCCGTGTGATTACACACGAGAACTTTCTCTGGTGCAGAAGTTCTCAACGTAAATGCAAAGCAACAGAATAAACAATACAAATAAGAGTGGGTAGTAGAGATGAAAAGGATAATACTAAGCCACACAACATTGGTAAATATACTTAGACATAAAACAATACTGTGAGAATTAGGTGTTAGCAGAGATATCAGGAGATAAAACTGTCCTTGTATCTAGATGTTTTGGCATGCAATGCCCTATAATGGCTGCCCGAGGGGAGAAGTTGAAAGAAATTATGCCCAGGATGTGAGGGGTGTGTAGATGTTTTCTCAGCCCTCCCTCTTTCCCACACAATATACAGGACTTCTATAGTAGGCAGGCTGTTTGCAATTGCTTTTTTTTTTTTTTTGCAGTTCTAACTATCCGTTGGAATCTGTACCAATGGATAAGAAGCTGGTGGCTCCAACAGCAGCCTAGTTTGAGAGAGCCAAGCTTTCTGGTTCCTCAGCTGAGTATCCTGGGGGCGATGGTGGAGGATGCCCAGGAAGGGTTTACTCAATCAGCCTAAAGTGGCCACGAGATGGAAGCAGTTCCCACCCGTGAAGTGGCCACAACACAAGACAGCAAGCGCCTTACAATATGCACCATTCGCATCAGGGTGGCGTTGGCTCTGGGAGGGGTGGGTGGGTGGGAAAAAACAACAACGCACAACCAAGGAAGCCGAAGGGGTGGACTGGAGAGGCGACAAATCAACGTCACGGGGTGCGAAGATGAGAGGCAGGCTGTCCGCCGGCCGTAGGCGCCGTGGTTAGGGGAACGTGAGGAAAGGCTCAAGAGAAAATCCGGGTTTGGCCTTGCTGGGGCCTCGCCGGCGTTTCCTGCGGGGGGGAGAGACGCCTCCAATCCCCGGCTTCGGTGGGAAGAGGGGGGGGTGTCGAGGCCCCGGCAGAGCCGGGAAGCCGCTTACGTTTGGAGGCTGGGTGGCGGGCCTCCAGGCCGTCTTCCAGCGAGGCGGCGGCCGCGGCCATGGCGACCTTCCCGGGAACGGCAGCACCTCCCGGGCGCGCCTTGACGTCTCCGGGGTGAAATGCGCGCTTGCGTCCAGCTCAGGCGCCCGGCATTCCGCTCCGCGCGGCCCTCGCCTTTTCTCGGAGACTGCGCCCTCGGCCCGCAGCTTCCCGCCGACTTGCGCCGCCCGAAGCGAGGGGCAGGTCCCTCGGACGCCTCTTCCGGGGTGCAACCGTCGGGATTTGCACCGGGGCTGGCACGGCGCCTCCGCGGGAGCCCCTCCGCGGGGAGTTCAGGTGCGCGCTGCCAAAGCCCGGACGCATCGGTGGGCCCTTTGGGCGCTTTGGAAGCAAGGAAAGCATCGCCAAAGGGGAATCCGGCCCCGAAGCCTTTTCGACCCTGCTCCCCACAGGGACAGACAGAGAAGGGGCGGTGTTGATACCCTAAGCGGGAGAATTGCCTGGAACCCAAGGAGAAAAACCGCAGTCATCGCTGCAGCGAATTGGAGATCTAGCCATAATTGTCAGGAACTATACTG